GCGGGGAGGGGAGGGGGGTGAGTAAATTGGCCAGCGGGGAGCGAGGCTGAGCTGGGCACTTGCTGCCTGTCTCGCGCAGGTTCCCGGTGATGCACGAGCAAGGAGTTGGCTTCCCCTCCTCCTCACACTCAACCAATTGAGGGCTCCCGGTGGCAATCGCGTCCCTGCCTCCCAGCTGCTCCCCCCGCACACGCCAGGCTTCCGTCCAGTGCGCAGCCAGAAAAATCAGAAAATATTTTTGTTTTTACTGGACAGAGAGCACATGCCTGTCTCGCGCAGGTTCCCGGTGATGCACGAGCAAGGAGTTGGCTTCCCCTCCTCCTCACACTCAACCAATTGAGGGCTCCCGGTGGCAATCGCGTCCCTGCCTCCCAGCTGCTCCCCCCGCACACGCCAGGCTTCCGTCCAGTGCGCAGCCAGAAAAATCAGAAAATATTTTTGTTTTTACTGGACAGAGAGCACAAATACCGGACTGTCCAGTACAATACCGGACACCTGGCAACACTAGGCTGCCCCAAGCACTGACTCCTCCACTCCTATTAGCCAGGAACCACAGCCAATGCAGACTGGGGGTGGCATTTGTGGGCAGGGTCAGTGCGTGCAGCCCATTGGCCATCCTTTGGCCTAGGAATCAGAGGGACATGCGGCCACTTCTGGGGAGCCACTTGAGGTGAGTGCCACCGAGGGCCCTTACTCCAAACCCCTTTTTGCGCCTCAGCCCCCTGCCTCCTGTACCCCGCACTGCTTCCTGTACCCCTGCTCCAGCCCTGAGCTTCCTCCCACACTCTGAAACCCTGGGCCCCAGCCCAGAGCCCCCTCCTGTACCCCAAACTCCTCATCCCCAGTCCCATCCCAGTGCTCAGGATCCCGTTTGTGCGAGGGACCTGCCCTCTCCCACTACAAGCACCCCTCATTTCTGGTCCCACCCTGAGCCTGCACTCCCAGCCCAGAATCCATACCCCTCCACCTCAACCTCCTGATTCAACCCAGAGTCCTCTCCCACATTCTGAACCCCTCAGCCTACCCTTCCGCCCAGAGTCCCCTCCTGTATCCCAAACCCGTCATGCATGGACCTGCCTCAGAGCCCAGACCCCCAGCTGGAGCCCCCCCAATCCCTTTGCCCAGACTAATGAAAATGAACAAATGAGTGAGCAAGGGTGGGGCGAGTGAGTGGCGGAGCGAGGGGGGATGAAGTGAATAGGGGCAGGGCCACAGAGAAGAGGTGAGGAAGGGGCAGGGCTTTGGGAAGGAGCAAGACTATAGGGAGGTCAATGGGGTATCACATTTTCTGCAGTTAGAAAGTTGGCAACCCTAGACTGTCCTGGAGTAAAATTTTACAGAAGATGTTGAGGCAGCCAACTCCCATTGATTTCAATAGACTTGAGGTACCTAAGGACATTTAAACATAAGAAGTGGTCATACTGGGTCAGACCAAGCACTTTGGAGCTTAGGTCCTATAGGTCCCTGTGAAGGGGCACGATAGTCCCCCTCCTTCTGAGGCCCCGCTCGGGCCCTCAACTTTCCTCTGTTTAGAGTTTTCAACGTCTAGTTTGCCCCTCCGGCAGCCCCTGTGAGTCCCGGTTTACAATAAGCTGTACACTCGCACCCGCCTTGGGTGGACGGGGTAGGAGGACCCAGACCCGCCCTTTCTCACAGGTTTCAGCCCAGGGCCCTAAGGACAGGTTTAGACACGTTCCTGTCCAGCTGACGGCAACTTGCCAGCCCGCAGGCCCAGGCAGGGGACCCCCGCCCTGGGCTACTTCCTACCCCGGCTCTAGCTGGAGGGCTCCTCAGCCGTCACAGCCTGCACACCACGGCCACAGCTCCTCTCCCGCTCATAGGGAGGATCTGGCCCTGTTTGGCAGCTCCCTCGCCGGCCTTCTCTCCCTCTCTCTCTCTCTCTCCGTCTTGCTCGCTTGCTTCTCCACCTCCCTTGCTTGCTCCCTCGCCTTCCCCCTTTCTCCCGTTCCAACGCCCCTTTTGTATCTGCCACGCCGCTCCCCCTCTCCCTCCTCCTCCCTTACGTCACTTCTGGCGCAATCGTGACATGGCCACAGCGCCCCGCCCCGGGCTGTGGCGCCGCTCAGCTGTGCCACGGTGCATGAACACGCGGCGCAAGCGGCAGGCTGTGTTCCGCGCCTTCCGTACAGCGCAGGGGTTGGAGCACTCGGAGTACGGGGTGATAGTACCCCGTCACAGTCCCATTGATTTTCCATGAGCCTTAAGCTCTGAAAACACCACGTCAAAGTGAAAGTGAGACTTTGGCTCTGAAGTTACAGGGACCCTGCTGAAAATGTTCCCCAGGTCTCTTGCTCCACAGGTCAGGCAGTTGCTCTGCCCTGCTAAGAGAGGAGGAGCAGGAGGCGGAGTCTATGACAGGAATACTAGCAAGGCTTTCGTGCTGGGATTCTTGTCCTCTAGATAAGCAGGCCCTGCTCACTTGATCAGGGACTAAGGTTACAGGAAAGGCTCCTCTCAAGCTATTTCCAAGCTTTCTATTGTTTTTCAATTTGTCCATCGCTCCACTCCCCTACTTTTCTTGCTCCCACATAGCTCCAGACCTCCTCCTCCCCTCTCCTCTGTGCCTCTCCTCCCTTACCTCCAAACCCTGGCCTCTGCTCTCCTCTGAGTCTGATTACCTGCATATCCAAGCCTGGGCCCATGTGCCACACTGCTACGATTTGTCCTCCACACCAGCGTCTTGCTCCAGTTGCTCCACACACCACATGTCTTTGGTGTCACGCGAACGGTGGCCTCATACTTTGAGTCAGGCGACAGGTTTTCAATCTTCACCCAAGTCTGGTTCTGTTTGATCGGGAGGAGCTTGGCAGTCTGGGATGGAATAAAAGTTACAGTGATTGCCGTGTTCTCCCACTCAGGGTCCACTCCCTGTCTGCTGTGCAATCAGAGCAGAGTTGGCAGCAGATGCTGCAGATAAAGCGGAAGCAGGAGCCACTGCCACTTTTGGCCTCACCTGTGAGGAGATGGCATTGCAGCCATGTGTGGAAGGGTCTAGAGCACAAGCAAGCGTGGCAGGTTCCTTGCACCAAAGTGGCTCTGTCCTCCTCCACTAGGTCTGGGCCTGAGGCCCATCAGCATCAGAAGCTAGTCTGGGGTCCTGCACTTACCTCCCAGGGCTCTCTGGGATGTCTGTACCGCACTTCAAATTCCCGTTGATTACGTAAGTAGTGAGAGGAACTAGGAACCCTCCAGGTTATGTTGCAGCTGGAGTCGCTGGTGTATACCACTTGCAGGCTGTCAGGAGGTCTCAGCTGGACTGGGGAGAGAAAAGGGAGGAAGGCGCTGGGACACACTCATGGAAAACAGGATTTACACCATCTAGCTCAGCTTTGGGCACCAAAGGACACAGCTTTAACACACAGTGCTCTGGTTCCTAGATCCATGCACCCCGGCTGGGCACTGGGGTTGACACAAAGCAATATGTCAGAGGTAATACTGAGGGAAGTGACAGTACCATGCTGGAAGCTACGGGCTGCAACATGGTGAATATGTGGCATTGTGTGACTCAGGTGAGCATACAGGGCAGTAGGGAATTGAGAAAAAGCCAGCCTGAGGATTGGGTATATGGGGTAAAACAGATGTGAGTACAAGCTGGCCCAGGGTTCAGATCTAACCACACATTGCAGCCTGAAGACCACTCACTGTTATGCCATGGTTTGAATTCCTGCTCTTGCACCACAGTTGTCCAGTTTTCCCCAGTTTGACAGGACACAGTCAGGTAAACTGAGTCGGATATGATGAAGACCTGAACCTGCAGGGAAATTTGTTATTAGTGTTACCAGTCCCTGCACTAGGTATTCTTCACATTCCCGAGTCTCCAACACCTCCGGCTCTGTTAGTGCATGACCATCGCACCTCCCGTCCTAATGGTTTTAATGTGTTTTGCACATCTTAATAAACAGGGCAATCATTAGATTAGCCCCATTGGGGAAACTGAGGCACAGAACCTAGCTAACTTAAATATCCAAGTCTTATCCCTTCTACTGCAATGGGTAGGCTGCAAAGCAGATTGAAGCTGGGCAGAGGTGACAGGTGCTGCTCCTTAAGTACCATCTGTGCTGCAGGATCCAATGATGAGGCTGGGTCAGCCGTTGCGTCATTGCTTTTCTGCCTTTACGTCACAACAATGCAGTTTCAGAGTGCACCATGCGTGGGGTGCATAGTGCTGCACCTGGAGAGGCTGGGTCGGCATGCCTGGCACGATTCTCTGGGTCTGGTAAGTGTCCTGTGACCTCAGGCTGCAGGGCAGTGGACTGACTGATGAGCCAGTTAAGGAAGCTAAACTTACTGTAAAACAGTTGACACCTTCTGAGGATTGTAACAGATTGGCCGAGACAGAGATGGGATATTACTCCTGTCGTGGGCCAGGGCATGAATGTTTTGGAACCCAAAGTAGGGATTTGGAAGCAGGATATAAGTTCTGTGTCTCACTGTTATGACAGTGACAGCCTGCAAACAAATCATACTCAGCCACTTTTATTAGCCACTACATTGCAGTTGGTTACCTACATCAATGTTTTCATTGAAGGCTAGTTCACATCTACTGGGTGTCGTGATGGGTAATTCACAATTCCTTGTTTTATTCCTGTTGGAGAGAAGACCAGAATAGTGTTGAGCTGCAGGGCCTTGTGGGCGTGTCATTATTTATATAGATTTGACATCATCCAAGGCACTAGGCAGTCTGACATCCTTGCTACAACAACACCACGAAATCCCAGCAGCATTAAACTATGCAGCTAACAGGAACTCAGCCAGTCACCCACAGAGCCCCTTTGCCCATGTGGGGAATCCACCCCCTCCAAAACCCTTTCCAAACAGATGTTCTTTGGCAGTGTGCCCAGAAAGTCACCAGATTCCAAATGCTATGGGCCAGGCAGGGGGCTGGTTTGAAGGGTCCTGGTGTCCTCACAGGCAAACTCCTTCCAGCCACCGCTTTGGTTTATGTCCTCACCCCCCGAGAGGGCCCAGCACGACTGTGGCAGTCCCTGTGCCTCCTGCATCCCTCTGCAGTGCCGCTGGGAGCACCGAGAGGCTGCGCCTCATTGTCTCTCCTATATACCCCACCAGGCACTAGAGCAGGAAGAGATGGAGTGAAACTGGTGCTCTGCTCATTGGGAGACCTCTAGCCACTGCCACCTGCCTCTCTCCCCACCGGTGCTGGCCGGCCCAGTTCCTCACAGTTCAAACTCCTAATACCGGGCTGGTGTCTGGAGCCCACTTTCCACCTCACACACCAGCCATGGCAAACCTGCTGCCATAGTGGACACACCCACAGCATCTAAGGGAAGCCACCAGCTGTCAGTGGGGAGCCACCATCCGCAAGAACCAGTGCAGAGCTGTTGCTCAAATGAGCATCCTCCAAACCACCAAAGGGGGTTGGCCCCTCTCCTCACCAAAACCCTGTAGCTAGAGACCACAGAGCCCCTGCCTGCCACCCCTGCAGTGGGGAGCAGGTCATGAAGGTGCTAGGGAAGGGTAATATGGTGGATTGAGAAGGGGGAAAGGTTAGCAGATACTATGGTGGGGGAAGCATGTTTGACCCAGAGAACGCCTCATGTTGCTGCCTGTGATGGAACATTCATGAGGGAGCCCATCCCTTCAGTAGAAGAGTGTTATGATCCATGTAAAACTACTTCCATCTTCTCTCTGCAGACCGGCAAGCCCCAGTCTAGTTATTAGTGCCCTTGCTCTATGGCCTGGGAACAGGACAGCCAGGGAAGAGTGGAGCTCTTTGGAGAATAAATTGATTACAGAAACAGGAAGGCAGGGAAAAGCTGACTCTGGATTGCCACTGAAAAGTGGAGAGATATTTAAGTAGCTGGCCTAGATTTTAGCTATCCTACGGGTGCGGGAAGGGACGGGGAAGAGGATTCAGAGGCCCATCTCCTTAGCAAGTTTCAATGTGAGCAGCTCCATTGCAGTCAATCATGTTACACCACTGAGGATCTGGCCTTATGTTTAGGGTCGTCAATGTGAGCAGTTCCATTGCAGTCAATCACGTTACACCACTGAGGATCTGGCCCTATGCTTAGGGTCTCCTAGGAAAGGGTGTGTGTGTGTGTGTAGAATGAAAGGATGTCATGATGACAATTAGAGCCTGACACCACATACCCATCAATATCTTCATGAAAAAAGGCATGAAGTCGGCACGGTGTTTCTGTGAGACTCTTGTCTGCAGCCCAGGTGCAAAAGAGAGTCGCCCGCGTGTCATAAAAGCAAGTTAGATTTGAGAGTCCTGTGAATGGAGAAAACATTCTATCACATCATTCCTGGCATGACAAAGACATTAAATCTGAACGTGCATTCCATCCAGTTCCATGCAGTGTCCATTCCATAGACTGGCTAGCGCCCTGGAGGAACAACCAAAGAACGTCTCCAAACAAGAATGGAAGAAACCAATGGCCCTTAACACCTCTCTTACATTTCACATGCAGAAGTCCATCAGAACTTGTATATTGCATTGTTGTTGTGCTGCGTAGCCCTACTGCGTCCTGCCCTATGGCACAACATGGACAAACCATCAAATTGCAGTGACCTTTCTTACCTCACATAAAGATAAACTGTGTCTTACACTTTGCCCCACCTGCACACCTCCCTTATTCTCCTGCAATGATGCAGGGGAACCCCTTCTTACCCAGAGTGGTTCTTGATGCCAGCAAAACATCCAGGGGAATGGACAGCCAGAGGTAAAGCAGGAGGGGAAGAGCAGACTTCATCCCTGCAGAGCACAGGAGGGGCCCACACTGGAAGAGAGAAGACACACACCCCCCCACAGCACAGGTGAGGATGACAAACTTCCACATGTCTCAGCAGAGGTTGTTCCCTCAGCAGTTTTCTCCCTCAGCGCTGCTACCAGGAGTCTGTGACACATCCAAGGTCTGCCCCCCACTGAAGCTCTACATACACACCAAGCTGCCCTGATCTGATCCCAGATCCAATCCCACTCAACAGATTGCCCCTGTCTCTGTACTCTGACCTGTCTCTTTCCTCGTGTGCTTTGCTTAGCAGCAAAACACTTTGCAATGCTAGCACTGAAATTGATAACAAAGCTAAAGCCTTCTTGAAATGAATATGAGCACACACCGCTCAGCACTATTGTTTCAGGTAGGCTGCTGACTCAGGCAGACAGTACTGCAGGAGCCACACCCCATTCACATTATGAAGTGGTTTCTTTTCAATCTTAAACTCTAGCGACTTCAGGGGGCGGTTGTGGTTAATTAGCTGTGGAGTCAGAGGGTCTTCTGGGTGTAGGGGAGAGTTAGTGGAGGAGTTAGGGGTGAGTGGATGAGTCTGAAGAGCCTGTTTGGGACAGGGAAAATGAGGCTTGGAAAAGGATTTCATGTTCAGTAGACCTAGGTTTCAAAACACACACACACACACACTCCATGTTTGCAAGGATTTAATGTTCAGTAGATCTAGGTTACACACACACACACACACACACACACACACACACACACGAGACTCCATATTCGCATGGCTCCAAGCATTCACTCTCCATATTCATACGGTCCAGGGCTACACTTGTACCCATGCAGCTCCTGAGATGGGACCATGCTCTGTCTAGGACAGGAGGCAAGGGGAACAGTCCTTTCTCCGCTCGAAAGAGCAGCCCCAGGTTTCTTTGTACAAAATGAGATGGGGTCTTGAGCAAACGCTGGACATGTTGGATGGGGAAGGGGGGGGGCAGGACCTGCAAAAACTTGCCAGAGGACTGCCATGGGGGCACAAACATATTTCAGTTTTGCTAAACGATTTTAGTTCAGAGATAGAGAGCAAACAAACAACATTCTTTCCCCACCACCCCACCCCACCCCCCCGTTTGTGGGAGATGTGGGGCATGCTGAGAGAGAGAAACTTTCAGTCCTTGCCAATAGCTAGAAAAATGTGTCAAATTGAAACCCCTTCCAAGAAGCATCTCCATTCAGCCACCCCCGTGTGGGAGACACTTGGCATCACCCCGTTACCTTCCTAAGCAATGGTCTCCTTAGCCGTGCAGTCATGCCAGAGATGGCCCTCGGGGACTGGATCGGTCTGTCCGATGGAACTCGGGTGCTGGTCTTGGAATGACGAAGGATGGGGTAAGGCAAGGAGGGCTTCCTGTTCAGCACATGGCACAGCTGGTGGGAATAGACGGGGGCTGGAGCTGGACAGTTCTGAAAGCGCAAAGAGCTTGCCAGTGCTCTGTCGTTTCTTCGCTGTAAGCACAGGAAGCTACATCTAGCTCGCCCTGTCAAAGTGAGACTGAGAGCCAGAGTACCGAAATGGCTAGCGAGGCCAAGAATAAAAAGCCCCAAACCACGTCCACTTCCTGACGGTAAAGGTGATGGGAGGGGGCGGGAAGGAATCAGGTGTGAGGCTCCAGCAAGCGCTTAGCTGCACTGGTGACTTGGCTGCGCACATTGCTACACAGAGATATATAACTGGGTGCGTGCCCCCCATGCACAAACATGCCCACCGTGGCACATGGGCACGTGTATCAGTTTAAGACAAGCTGGAATAGCTTATCCCTGCATGTACCCAGTGCCTAGCCCAACAGAAGCCCGGTGTAAGCGGATTTAAAAGCATTCACGCACTCACCCGTTGCACCAGTTTCACTGAATCAGTTGGAAATCATGCCTGGTGTTCATCCAATGCAAGTGAGTGGTTAGAAGGCCTCAGACACAACCTCCCCCCTCACAGCCACAATGGCACCATGTACAAATACACCCTTCATGCATACACAACTTGTCTGCTTCACACACTTCTCACACTCATAAACAAACCACCCCCTCCCCCGAAATAATGCTCGCTAGCTTTGAGCCTCTATCTTCGCTTCTGCATGAGGGGCTCACTTAATTAATGCTCTTCACAACTGTGAGGCAGAGAGAAAGCCCATTTCACAGATGGCCCGGAAAGGTTATGAAGTGACTTACTCTCTTAACTGGTAAGTGGCAATGCCAGGCTCCTTGTCCTCTGTAGTGACCACAGCATAAGGCACCTTCCCCGTGACAGCCCTCACAGACGTGACTCTCTAAGGTGCACTCAGGCACGTTTTCACCATACCCCAATAGTCCCTCCACCCCCACTCTACACCCAGACAGACACAAACGCAATAGGATTCTCAAACGCCCCACACTTCACACATCCCCCAACGCCCACTCGCCCCTCCTCCCCACCCCCAAACACACAAATAGCTTTCTCTGAAGTGTAGCATATTGCACTTCCTGTCTGGTTAGGGCTGCACACATTGGCCTGTGGTGTTGGAGCGGAACAGGCATTGCTCCGGTACTTCACAGTGGTCAGTCACTGAGCTGAGCTCTCCCTGCGTCCACGCCTCAGCACCTCTGAGGCCTGAGCTCAAGTCCAGTGGGAGGTTTGGCTGAGTGGAGGGGTCTGGGAGGTGAATCCAAGTCACAGAGAGCTCCAGGACAGGCAATTTCATGGAGCAGAATGTAGAGACCTTGTGGGATTGGCCCTCTATGACAGCCAACCAGATAGTGGGTTCAGGGGGTATTGGAGAGAGAGTTCGCTCTTTGTCATGGATAGTCCAGCACAGAAAGTGAGTGTGAGAGAGATTCGGTTTCACATACCAAGAATACAGGAGTGAGACAGTGGTTTGAGGGAGAGGAGGGGTTATTTTTACGAAGATTGTAGCTGGAGGCTGTAGTAGGGTATACTCTCCACATGAGCCCTGAGAGAGTAAATTAAGCCCAGCAGGAGCAGGACAGGCCCGTATAAAGCCAGGACAGGCCCATGGCAACAGACAGAGGGCTTGCTGCGAAACACTGCAGTCAGTCCTGGGGCATTCTGGATGCTTGTGTGGCCCTCAGGAGATATCCAAATGCTGCTCAGCTGATTAGCAGACCCACAGCCGGCAGCATGTGTTTCTAATGGTGGTGCACAATCATGCATGCTTTGGTGCACATAATAAAATGTATTCTGCACATGACTGGAAACAATCTGCACGTGCATGGAAAGGATTCAAGGGAATGTTGGTGAGGGGGCCTGGTTTGGAGGCTACAGAGACATGTAGCTTGTAGTTTCTCCCTGGGATCAGGGAGAGCTAAAGTTGGCAGACCCAGCCAAGGAAGGAGTAGCCAGAAGTTTAGGAAAGGGCCGAGGGAAAGACATTGAGGTCTCAGAGGGAACAGACCTCAGCTGCTCAATAGAGGGTCCCTAACCCAGGACCTGGAGTAGAGATGAGCCCAGTTTCCCCAACCAGACGCTGAGGGAGTGGCTCCATGGAGCAGTGAGAGGGAAGCCTGCCAGTAACTGCTGAGGAAAAGGAACTTTCATCCCCTGGAAGGGGAAAGTTCAAATTGTGACTCCATGAAGAAGCAGCAGCAGCTCTTGGAGCGAGAGAGGAACTGCAGACCCAAAGAGAGAGGCAAAGGGTGGCATGTTACTGTGGGAAGTGGGAGGGAGTTGATTTAGTGGCCAGGAGAAGGTGCCAGCCTAGTGAGATGTGGAGCATCCTGTCAGGGGGGCTCAAAGGCACCATTTCACGCAAACCACTGCAGTCCGGATATCAAGGGCATGCTCAAAGTGCTGCAGTGGAGAACATGACACATCAGACTCCAATTGAGACAGTCTGGTCTGAATGCCATGCGCCTCAGAGCCCCGATCTGTATTTGGCAGCACAAAGAGGCCGTAAAATCAGATGAGTAATCCTGACATAAGGAAATCTCTGTGTGGCATGGAGAGGGAGTAACTAAGGAGGGGGTGTGGGCTAAATGCTACGATGCTCCAATATTCCCTAGCTAGTGTAATGACCACTTGAGGGCTGTGAACCAGCCGCCAGCATAAATTAAACTAGCTTATTCTGGAGACTGAAGAACTCTGCAAATTGAGGAAGGAAAAGGTAAGGTGGAGATCCCTTAACCATAATCAAATACTTTAAATGTATGTGGTCCAGATGCCAACACTACTCCACTTTGAGGGCTTGTGTTCCCACCAGTGGAGTGCAATGACCCGTCGGGGGTGTCTTGTACGAGGGAGGGGCTCCAGGACTGCCCTGCAGTCCCCAGCAATTAAAGATAAACCCTTAATTAAAGATATGGTAACCCTAGCCCCTGGTGTAAAGCACTGTTCCCTCAGTGCAATTTATCCTACCTGCCTTAGCGATTTTGTATCAGTAGTTTACAGCAGAGCAAAAATCCGTAATGCAGGCAAGCTGCATGTAGTAGCCTATGCTGTGATTAGTTCCATAGATTTCAAGGGGACTGCCTGCAGACTAAGGCACTCCTCAGGGGGAATAAAGGTAATGGAGCCAAGTCCTATGTGTCTGGGCACCACAGCAGCTTTTGAAGTAGCAACACCTATTGCTAATCTTGCAATGCAGTGTTCATTAGACTCATCTCCTTCCCCAATTCCCTTTGGGATTGTGTTTGCTCTCAGCCTTCATATCAATAGCTTTGGAAAGTTGCAGCTCAAGGCCCTCACTTATTCTCAATTTAAGGGAGTTGGCAAGAAAAAAAAAAGTAAGACATCCAACTTCCCATGTAGTTTGTCCTCTGTGAGGCGCATGTGCTGGGATATTTCCGAAAAAAATACATAGACACTTGTGTGCATGGTTGGTGCTATAACTGAATAAGATCCACTACTGGTCTAGTTCCACTGATGTCAGCTAGCTGCACTGATTCATACCAACTAAGGATCAAGCCCATTACCTTTGATTGCTAGTTACATCATTTCCTATGAAATTGTACTACTGAAGCTACGGGATGTTTTTTTGTGAAGCTGAGCAAAACTCCCACCCTCATAGAGCCCCTGTGAAGATATTCGCCTTTTGGTTTCTTTTCTGTCTTTAAAACAGATAAACAGTCACGGCAATTAAATACAAAACCCTTTGTTAATCCAACATTAAGGCTTAATATTTGAACCTATAAATGCAAAAGTTGGGTCCTTATAACTGTGTTAACAGGGTCAGATTGGAAGCATCAGTGGGAACTTAGCCTTTCCTTACTTAAGGATAATGTAGAGCTGTCCATTAAAAGCCCGATTTTTATCCCCCTTCTCTAATCAGACTGAAATGAACCAGCCCGCCCTGACATTACACGTACACAATTACATATCAGTTCTTTGGAGCAACTGAGGCAATTCAGAGAAGTGATTTGCTAGGTATGAGAGCACAGAATCATTTGCATGGAATCATTCTGTTCTGGGTGGCTCTCAGCTCCTCAGATTGTAAAAAATGGTTTGTCCTAGAAACTCTCAATTTTGATTTGTTCTGTTGCCCTCACTGAGGACTGGAGCCCTTGGCTATTGCAGACATTGAGTATGGTTTATTAACAATAACATTGACAGTGAGGTTTGTATGGCAGACATGCCATTGGTGCACAACCATCACGGTGCATCCTGGAGGAGAAGCTGGAAGTGTGGCACTAGGGACTTCTGAGCCTTCCTCCCACCCAAAAGCATTAGTGAGGTCTCTCGACACCCCCTGGGTTAATTTTGGTACCTTCCAAAGAATGGGGTTTTTTTTAAGTGTAACCTTTACTTTGAATTTCCTGCCTTTCAGACATTTACATTTCTTAAAACTACAACCTCCTGTCAAGCATATTTTCCCTTAAATTGTGGTTCTAGTCTGAAAATTGTCTCTCTTAAAATGGGGGTAGGGGAAGGTCTGCTAGTCGCCTCAGTGAGTGTTATAGCGAATGTGTTTTTTACTGTTCCCAGTAAAAAAGATGCTTTGGTTTCCTGATGGTCAGTCTTGCAAACTCACCAGAGGCTCAGAAAGTCAAGCTGGTGTCTTTCCTTCGTGTGCATTAGCCCAAGTAAGAAAGTTTCTGCAGGCCAATGCTGTCCTCTGTGACACATCTGCAATGCCACAGGGCCCACGTGGTTCGGTAATAAGACATGAAACCCAGAATCTAGTCCTGGCCATGGTACTGCCTCCTTCTGTGCCCTTGACCAAGTGACTTATGGCCAGGCAAGGTGCCCAGAGAACGTCTCTGAAAAGCTGTCACTAAAGCCGTGTCCCTATGAGATAACCATCAGGTTTATGCAGCATTAACCCGTCTTGACAATGCATGGCTTTGTGAAACCTCAACTACTCTAATGGAAACTGGAGCTGATGACCCTCACCTAGCTCGGAGAAGGACTGAGATTTGCAGGGGAAGGACCAGATCCTGCATCCTCAGCCCCCAAGGACTCATCCCCCTTGTGATGCTCCAGCTTACGCATTGCTATTACTGATTTAAAAGCTGTTCTACCCAAGCCCGTGAAGATTCCTTGCAGTGGAAGACAGCATGGCTGTGTCCAGACTCCATGCCTCCGTCGACGGAGGCATGGAGTCTGGACACAGCCCATGGCTAGAGAGCAGTCTGGAACCTCCCACCCCAGACCTGCACCCAAAGTTCCCCACTTACAGCAGTAGCAGGACCAAAACACCAGGGTACTCTGCAAGGGTAAGATCTTCATGAGAGGGCTATAGCAGCTTTTGGGCAGCTGACTTGCCCTAGGAGGCCAGCGCTGCACCAAAGCCACCGAATCAATGAGCACTCAGCCAGCTGACATTAAATTAGTTCCTTTATTGCCCTGAGAGGAGTTGACAATGATCTTGTTGCCTGCGTAAGATTAGAAGTACCAGGTGTGACATGCTGTACCTCAAAGTAGCACTCTGTAACCCCCATCTTCCTCCTTGGTATATGGTTGTGGTGTTTCATACCCATCAAGCCATGCAGGATACCATAGAAAACTCATTGTTCTGTCACAATATGTATCTCATTTGTGTATATAGTGTTATGAGATTTTGCTAGGTGATTGTTACTGAAAGACATTGTGAGTTTGGGATTTGGCCACTGCTACATCTCCAGTGACAACGAAGGAAGTGACCCACACCCAGGCGGGCATAAAACAACCATTGACCAACAGAGGAATTGAAAGCAAGAAAGCTACATGTCAATAAGAGACAGTTTTGCAAGCACCACACAGTTGAGACTCAGAAAGGCCCACCAGGGCCATGCCTGGGCTAGTCCCTTTCCAGGAAAAGAATTGAGAGAATAAAATCAGAGACAGTGCACGGCATTGGGACACCACCTTTCTCCTCCTCTGCCTATGTTGAAGGCAAGAAGAACGTGGAGAAGACAAACGCTTGAACTAAGGAGACA